TGGCTTCAGGAATTCTTGGGATAAACCCTCTCTTGGATTGAAAATTCGCCCCCTCCCCGTGTATAAGTGTAACCCTTTTTGTCCCCTACCAGTCTCTGCCCATCTGAGACCTTCTCCTTCCTGTTCCCACCTGGATCCTTTCCATGGCCTTCACTTGTCTCCTTTCCTTTCTTCTGCCCCCTTCCTGTGGAGCTCAGGCCCTAGAGAGGCAGAGGGATTCCCTCGAGTCCGTCAGAAGCGAGCGGGATGACCTTAGAGATGAAGTGGTTGTGCTGAAGGAGCAGCTGAAGGTATGAGAGGGGTTGGGGGAACACCAGAAACCTACTTTCCACCTGCTTGTTTTCCCTCCCACTTAGCAGGATGTTTGAATCCTGTTTAGAGCAGCCAGGACTTCCCATTTTCACCCCACCTGGAAGTGGCCACGTCAGGAATTCTCCCCCTACACCCCCTCCTTGCACAGACTTGCTGTTGGGTCGTTGCTTTGGTGGGAGATGTTCCCTGAGGAGCATGTTGTGCTTCATCTGAAACCAGAGACCAGGCTGAGGTCACGTTTCCTGTCGTGGGGAACTCGTGGTGCCCCTTCCTGACCTCCAGCCCTTTTCCCATGAAAACGATAGGAGTAGATTTATTCTTTTGGAATGTCGAGGAGAAGACCCCGAGGGAGCAGCAGAATCCCAAGGGTTCCTCCTCCTTCTCCACAGAAACATGGGATAATCCCAAGCTCTGCCATAGCCACCAACGGGGAGACACCAGCCAGCCTAGAAAATGAAGGACACCTGGAGCCTTCCAGGAATGTTCCATTAAAGCCGGGAGGGGATGGGATGCTGGGTAAGTGCTGGAGATCCTTCCATGTCTGTCTGTCTGTCCATCCATTCCTTTCTCTTGGCTTGGAATTGGGGCTCCTGGTGGGATCGCTTCCTGTGCCTCTTCCTGCTTCCTCTTTCTCTTCCCTTCTGCTTCCTGCATATCCAGTTGAGGGAGGAGAATACAAATCAGATGGAGGGAATTCAGATCATCCCCTCCTGCTGCTCAAGGAGCACGTCAAGAACCTCTCCCCAAAAGAGCAGCTTTTGGGTTCCCTACAAAACAACTAGGACCTTGGGTGGTTTCTTGACATTGCTCATTCCTGATGGGCTTTGGGAAGCAGAACGTTGGGAAGGAGGAAGCTGGTTGGTAGAACCAGCTTTGGTGAAGAACCTTCACCTTGGCAGAACCTTCTTGATGGAAGGGGCTCTCAGAGATGTTACCTGAGTGGCAGGAAAGGGAAAGGATCCATCTGGCCTCCTTTTTGGGCCAAACCAACCCCCTGAGCACCAGGAAGGGGCTGCATGGTTCCAGGTGCAGGTTCTCCTGCTACTTCTGGGTGGGAAGAATGTTGGAAGAGCAAAACCAAGGAAAGGTGGGTGGGGTTTTGAGGACAACCTGTTTTCTCACTCTCCTCTTTCCATTATTCAGGGTTGGGTTTATTTTCGGGGCAAGGAGGTAGAACACAGACCCACAAGTGATCTACTGGGACCACAGATGCTGTTATGGTCATTCCTGGTACTTCTAAATGGAAGGAAAAGTGTCCCAGGAACCCCCTTCACCCCAGGGAAGCCCCAGTTCCTTCTGGGAGGGGGTGAAGTTCTGGTCCGTGTTGGTGCTGAGCAGCTGAACCAATTCCTGGCCAAGCATGTTGTCACTGATGGTGACAAAACAGCCCTGAATCATCCTTTGCTGGCTTCCTGGGCAGGGTCTTAGGGTGAAGGTTGGAGGTGATGTTGCTAAGAGGGAAGAGAATCCCTCAGTGTCAGGTCTGCAGGGGTTCCTGCTCAGTTCCTGCTTGGAGCTGATAGGTTCTCCTCTCCAGGAGCTGATGGGTTTGATAGGTTCTCCTGTCTGGGAGCTGATGGGTTCTCCTCTCCAGGAGCTGACAGGTGCTTCTCTCCCATCCAGCACCTGACAGGAACCCAAGCCAGCAGCAGAGGCCTCTTGCTTTGAGAGGGTGGGTGGGGGAATCCCCCTGCTCAGAAGCCCCCAGACCCTTTTACTAATCCAACTGCTGCTTTGCCTCACGTGATTGCCAGGAGCTGACCTTGGACTTCACCTCTTCTCCTCAGTCTCTTCTCTCTCGGGCTCTCAGTGGGGGAGGCAGGTGCCTTGGGGTGGTGCCTTCAACTTTCTCACTGGTCTTCTAGGCAAAGCCACTGGAGTGGAGATGAGAAGTGAGATTTTGGAGGATGTGGGGGAAGGAAAACTCGTGTGGAACGCTGAGCATGGAGAGGAGGAGGCTGAGGAGCAGGAAGGACAGATGTTGCACCCTGAGGAGAAGGAAGAACGTGGTGGCCTCTCAGCGGTGGTGTCACCAGAGAGGAGGTTAAGAGAGCAAAGCCAGAGCCCTTCAGGAAGTGTCTCAGATGATGAGAGTGACCCAGAGGGCTGGAGGGAGGAGAGCACAGCAGCCCAGCAGCCTGTCAGGAGGGAGGCTGAACACCAGGACTTCATGCCAAGGACAGATCAGAACTTGGAGGTGGGCTCTCCACAAGCTCAGGAGATGCCTGGTGGCTTAAGTAGAGAGCATGGCCTGGGAGAAGCTCCATCCCACCAGGAAGAAGGTGGGGATCTCAGAGCTAGCCATGGGCTGAGGGATGGAGAAGTGGGTGAGGAAGGTGACACGACAAGTGGGAGCTGTGAGCTGGTTCCTGACCAGGCAGGGCTGCCTGAGGTTCCAGCAGCAGGTCTGCTGGATGAGGAGGGACATGTGGAGAACCAGGCTGAGGGGTTCCAGCCCTCAGGAGAAAGAGCTGGGAATGAGGTCCCACATATCTCGGAGGACAAGGTTTTGGAAAGCAGGGATTGTACCCGTGGGAGGGTTGGGGAAGAGGAACACGAAGCTGGGAATGGAGCTGAGGGGCAGGTGGGGGCAACCAAGGCTGGGGGTTTGGAAGGGAAGGAGTCACCTGAAAGTGGTGGCGCAGAAGGTGGTGGAGATGGGGCAGGAGCCCAGCCACCTTCCTCAGAGGACAATCCCTCAACATCACCAGAGGAACAAAACAGGCAAGACAGAAGCAAACTTGAAGGTGCTACAGCTGAGGACAGACAGGAGGAGGTGTTGGTAGAAGAGCTGGAGATGTGTTCAGGTTCTGGAGGCACAGGAGAGCAGGAGAAGGCTCCAATGGAGGCTCCAGGATGTGTTCCTGAGGGAAAAGAGCCAGAGCCAGGCCCTGGGGAACAGGGGAACACTCAGGGAACCAGTTCAGGGGCTGGGAAAACTCAGGAGTCGGAACTGAAAATGGTGGCTGAGTCTGGGAAGAGAAAGGAGAGCAGGACAGGGTGGGGAGGAGATGGAAAGACAGAGGAGGGACCTCAGATAGGTGAGGTGGGAGCCCAGGCAGGTGAGGTGGGCCCTGAGGCTGGGGAGGTGGGAGCTGAGACAAGTGAGGAGGGACCTCAGGCAGGTGAGGTGGAACCTCAAGCAGGTGAGGGGGGAGCCCAGGCAGGTGAAGTGGGAGCCCAGGCAGGTGAAGTGGGACCTCAGACAGGACAGTGTGGTGAAGCAGAGACAGGTGGTGGGGTGGGAGAGGACAATATTCCTTTGGGAGGTGAAGTGCAGGGTGTAGGTGAACAGGAGGAGGGGGAACCTCAAGAGGAGTCAACTGTAGATGTTGGTGGAGCTCCTGGGAACCAATTTGATAAGGAGACACTTGGAGACAATGAGCAAGAGCTGGAGCTTGCAGAGCACCGTGGTGCTGGGGTGTCTCCTGAGGAGAGTGTGAACCATCCCCTGGCACAGAGAGCTGGGCAAGATGGAGATGCTGGTGCAGCACAGGGAAGACTGGAAGAGGCTGGGGAAGCATTTGGTGGTGGTGAAGAGTCAGAAGAGCTGTTGAGCAGGAGAGGAGCTGAAGGTGACTTGGCTGGAGGCGACAGCTTGCATGGAAGAGGTGGAAATGAGCCTGAAGGAGCAACACGGTGCTTGAGAGGGGAAGCACCAGAGAGGCCTGAAGTGGTGGAAGATGAGACAGTTTTGAGGCAGGATTTGGGAAGCAGTCCCAGGGATGGAAGTCCTCCCAGCAAGGAAGAGCTGCAGGCTGGCAGGAGGGGGAAGGGGAAGCCCAGAGAGGACTGTGCTATATCCTAACTGCAGCATCTCCAGCCCACCCCCAGGTGGTCACCCAAAGAGCAGAGCTTCTCCAAGTGACAAGGACTTCCAGCTGCTCCTGAGGAGCTCCTCGATGAAACTCCTGGGGTGGTTATTCCTGCCCACTCCCCCCCCCCCCAAGAAGCCCAGAGAGGACTGTGCTATATCCTAACTGCAGCATCTCCAGCCCACCCCCAGGTGGTCACCCAAAGAGCAGAGCTTCTCCAAGTGACAAGGACTTCCAGCTGCTCCTGAGGAGCTCCTCGATGAAACTCCTGGGGTGGTTATTCCTGCCCACTCCCCCCCCCCAGATGCTCAATATCCTGGTGTGCACGTGGGGATAGACGTGCACGGGGTCTGCATCTTGTGAAGTACCTCAGGAGATCAGCAGAGCTGATGGGGCAGCTTCTGCCTTCAGTGATTAAAGCCCAGGAACCAATTTCTTCTTAATTTGACCAGTGGGAGTCTCCACTTTGGAAAGACACCCCAGAGGGCAACGTGCAGGTGGCTGGAAAGAAGGAAGGAATCAATCCATGTTGACTTGGTGCCACCATGGGGCCTTGCCCACCACGTCTCCACATGGGCTGCTTTTTTGGGGGGCATTTTCCTGGAGAAAGTGCCAAGTGCCAGTGTCACCTGCTGCCAAGTGCTGCTTCACTCTGAGTATCCAAATCATTTCCTTGTCCACAAGGTCGTTTGGTTCCATTTGATAGTTCCATTTGATGGTTTCAAGTCCCACTTCACAACGGCATCAGTTGCTTTTCTTCTTTTGATTTTTGTCAACTTCACTGCTCCTGGAGGAAGGATTTTTGAGTCTTCTCCTGCCTGGAATGAAGCTGAACTTGCTAGGTCTTCATTCCCCTTGTTTGGAAGAACAGTCCTGTCTGCTGGGCCCCCTTCCAGCCTTTCTGGAAGTTGGGATGGTTCTGGATTGCTGGTGGCCATGAGATACTTTTCCTCTGTCAATTGATCCTTGGGTGGAAGAGGATGGGTTTGGAGTCCTCCAAAATCCCTGTGAGGTCATCTTTGGGCACTGGGAAGTGCGAGTTGGAGGAGCTGGAGGGTGGAGGGCTGGGTTTTGGGGATGGTACAAAGCACCAGCAGGATGTGACATGGACGTGTGTCCAGATGTGCTCTTCAAGAATGGAAATAAACAGATTTTATCCTTCCAACCTGCCTGTCCAGAGAACTGTTTATAAACCTGCCTGAATCTTGATGCCACTTCATCCAAACCCCTTTTCTGCAGCTTTCTTCACTATTTCTTGCTCCTTTCTGGTTTCTCTGGGTATTTTCAGATGTTCTTCTGAAGGGTTGACAACAAAGTGCTCACCTGAAGTGTCACAGGCTTCGTAGAGCAGCCTGGGAATCGTGTCACCAAGGTGAGATGGAAAGGGGGTGAAGGTCAAATAAGGGCAGATGAGAATTGGAATTGGCTGATCCATGTCCTGATTGAGCAGGACATGCTCTGCTCACCTCCAGGTCCTCAGCTCCTTGATGGGCTGGAAAAGTGTCTCCTGAGTCCACAAATATTCTCTGCTGATGTGGAGGCTCATCCCAACAATCCATTCTGGGGTTGGGGAAGCTGGTGGGCCTCCTCACTGGAAGCTGGAGGAGATGTCCTCTCTCCAGGCAGGCCCCTTTCCCACCACACCAGTGGTCATGTTGATCCAAGCTGCTTGGCTGTGTCCATGGCCAAGTTCTCTTCAGCATCAAGGTGGATTCTTTGGCCCTGTTTGGCCTCATTTTCTGGACCTTTTCTTCTCCATCTGCCCCTCAATCTCTTTCCAGTCCTTGGCAACTTCATATCTTCATCTCTCCCAACCTGTCTCCAAGTTTCAGCATCTGACCTCCTTTTTCCTTCTTACTCTCCTGAACTTCAGCTGTGGGGCTGAGCTCTGGACACCCCCTGGTTTGGTTCTTCTGGCTCCAGCTAAATCATGATGAGCAAGACCTGCCTGAGGTCCAAATATCTTCTCGTAGTGCGTGTATCTGAGCTCTCTGAGCAAACAGGTTGTCAATTAATGAGGTCCCTTTAGTGTTCAGAGAAGATGGGTGGGATTTGGTGTATGTGGGACTTGCTGAAATGCCTTCACGTTTTCCCAAGAGAGGCTCCAGTCAGCAGGGATTTGGTTTCTTCCTCCTAGTTGTTGGTGTCCAGTTGTCCCAGTCTATCATGTGAAGTGTCTGTTCACTTCTTAATTCCAAGTGAAGCCCAAGGTTTGGTCCAGATACCTGCTGATTGACCAGGAGAAAAGGCTGTTTGACCAAGTTGTATCATGGGCAGCCAAGGTTCTGAGACAAAGAAGTGAGGCTCTAACGTGTCCAGCTTTGCTGAGGAGCATTGGGTGGCGTTTCCATCCCACCCAACAAGCTCTGTGAGATGTTTGTGTTGCAGCTCTTTGATCCCCCCCAGCCCTTGCATGCTAAGCTCAGGGAGAAGATTGAGCCTCTTTGCATGCAGCTGGGACCAAGCATGTTGTATGTGAGCACCACCTCCCTGGCCGTGTCCTCCTGCCCCACGGTACGTGCGGCGCCCCCTGAACCTCCCGCCTCAGTTCTGTCCTCAGGTGCACCCTGCAGGTCCCTCCCTACTCAACTCCCAGTTTTCTCTTGCAGACAGGCTGACGAGGCTCGGTGAGGAACGGGAATCCTTGCTGGACCAGGTAATCCCTGGAAAACTGGATGACATG